CCCCCAGGTCAAATATGACCCGTCCACCACCACCCTCTGAGTACGACCCTTGAGCCAATCTGCATATATGATATGATTTTTAAATTATTTTCACTGAGCAAGAGCTCAGTCAGTATTTTCTTTGTGAATATGCATCCTAATTTACTTTGGCCACATTATTGCCACCTGTATTTGTGCCTTCTATGAATACTTATGTCATGAACAATAACACTTTGTCAGTCTTGAGCTCATTCACTCAGGTAGGAATTGTAAATTTGCTTTCCAGGAGTTATCCTGGCAGAAGCCTGATATATTTGCTTATCTCATTAGTGAAGAGCAACAATATGATGTTATCAATGTGAAAAAGCACAACCATCACAGATGGCAGAGTTCGTATTTCTGTTATTGAATAGAATTATTTGCATGGCATTGCTCTTTTTCTTTTCATTCTTAGACTTTTCTGTTCTTCCCTTTGTTGAAGTTTTTGTGTTCTCTTTCCCTTTTTGTTTTTATACTGCCCTCATCACCATACTATCTGAGTACTTCTTTGCCATTTGTTATACTAAATATTAACATAAAATAGTTCCTTTGCTCATGTTCTGAGTGCAAGAATGAACGCTCACAAGTAATCCCTCTTTCCTCCCTGTTCAATTACTGATAGGACTTCTTGACCTTATGGGCATTTCACCTCTTCAGTGAAAGTTTTAATGGGCTGAAGCTTCTTTTGCAGGTATTACTGAAGTTTAGTAATCAGTTGGCTTAGTCTGCCACCAGATTGCACTAACGATCCAAAAAGCGTATGCTGAGTTTGTAAGAACATTAGCTTTCATTTTGTTTGGAGTGGATGATTGGCTCAGACCAAGCTGACTCATCAATAGTTTGGAAGTTTGTGTACAGTTCACTGATGCCCATCAAAAGTTCAGGAACAAAACTCAAGAGAAACTCTTTAAGGAGTTTGTTCATTAACTACTTTTGCTGAATTTTGATGAGTGCTCAAATTCTGTGCATGAATGTGCCTCCAAATTCTGAGAGACATGAACTCTGTCGTACCCGGGATCGAAGCACTGGTAGATGAATAGCTACACTTAGTCATTGTCACAGTGTGTTCTGCTAAACAAGCTGAATAGAGTTACTTGGCAAAACAAATCAGAAATTATCTCTTAAACATGTTCAAATTCATGTCAGTCAAGCTGTAGCTCTTCTAGGTACCTCTGATAAAAGGGAGAGACATTGTCATAAAACAACTGTTCAGAGGCAATTGGGGCCTGTACACACAGTACTTCATAGTGCTTGAATTAAGAAATACAAAGTCCAGCAAAAGTAAATAGGAACCTAATGAATAAGGCAGGCTGGATACAAGCAGATACTTGCAAGGGAAGTCACCCCAGCCCAAGTGCAGGGGGCTGGACCCGATGGTCTTGTAAGGTCCCTTCCAGCCCCTTAACAACTATGAAGATGCGAATCTGCGGCTCCCACGTCCTGCCCCACCTGCCCAGTCGGGAGGAGGTGTGCAGGCTTCAAGCCAGTGGACA